CTTATGTTTGGTATCTATATATATATATATATATATATATATATATATATATATATTTAAAAAAAAAAAAGAGATTCTCAGGAATGTAATTTCTTAGAAACTATTTTTATCCCACTTTTCCACAAAAATATTTCCATGAGGGGAGAGGAGGGTGGGAATCCAACTTTCCCAAGTTAAGGGAAAAGTTTAATGCATATAAAAAGATTGTTATATCTTTTTTTAAAACATAAAATCTCTATCTTTCTCTCTCTCCTTCTATTTCTCTTTTTCCCTCTCTTTCTCTCTCTTTTTCTCCCCTCTCTCTCTCCTCTTCTATTTCTTTTTTTCTCTCTCTCTCATTCTTACCCCCCCTCTCCCTCCCATATCTTTATTTCTCTCTCTCTCACACACACTTTCTTGTATTTCATTATTTCTTGACCCTTTCAATTTTAATAATATTATTAAAATTTATTTTTGTTTCTATAATTTAATGGTATTCATTAACACTTTTTAATTTATTTATTTATTTGAATAAATGAAATATATATTTTTATCCTTCTTAATTATTATGTAACATTTTTCTTTGTTTATTTTTCTTTTGTTGAATTTCATATTTAAATAATTTTAACTATAAGTTTTCAACCTTTTCAAAATAGTTTCATGTCATATTTGTAATAAGATTTGAGTAAATAAATATATGTAATAAGTTTATTTTAATAAAGGATATTTTTTGTAAAAATATTTATATTCCCATGAATATAATAGTGTAAAAAAATCTTTAATTTTCAAGGTTCTTATATGAATATTCCTAAGAACCTTTATAAGTAACAAAACATATTTTAGTTATTTTAAAGAATCATGATTCCTAGAATTTGTAATTCCTAAGAATCATAATTCCTAGATATGAAAAGAAAAACTTCTTTACTAAAGACTCCCTAAAGTTTATCTTCTTAGACATAAAGATAAAGCTTTAATATGTTTTTATCTTATAAAATTAAAGCAGAAAATCAACTTGATAGAAAGATTATAAGGATAAGATGAAATAGGAGAGGTAAGTACACTTTATTTATTATATTGTGTCTTTTTTTTTATTGGTTATTAATATATTGTTATTGTTTCATAAACTAAAGAATCAGTAATTTATAAGTTTTGTAAATAAATTATAAAAATAATATTTTTAAAAAAATTATATATACATGTACATATGCACACACACATATAAATATATAAATATATATATATAATTTTAATGATAGTAATACATATTAATTAAAAATTAATATATATTAATTAATTTTTATTTTAATTCTTAAAATCAATTATTTTGATATTAGATTAGTTATAATAAATTATAAAATATGATTATCAATTATTATTTGAAAAGTTAGATGATAAATTAAGTAAATGACAATCAATAATCATGATTGTTTTTTTAAATATTTTTTATATAGTTTATTATTGCATTCATCACTGCGATTCTACGATTTGTTATTATTACGAGGAATTCACGCAATCAATAATCATGTACAACACTACTACTTTTATTACATGATTAAAAAATTATGTTTTTTTTTAAATTAATAGTCATGATATAATATTACTACTTTTATTATGTAATTAACTATTTATTATTAAATAATTTATTACAATTTCTTTTTTGCAAAATTGTACAACACCACTATATATATATAATTTTATATTAAAAAAATTTTACTCTTAAATTATATATAGAAAAATTTATATTAATCTAAAATAATTTGATATTTTATTTTTATAAAAAAGATTGACGTAATATATAAATTTTAGAATATAATAAAATATGAACACTTTGATTATCTTTAAGTTAATTTTAACAAATTTTGATATAAATATATAAAGTGATATGAACTTTCAATATAATGGTTGAATTTACAAAATTTACTTTTAATATAAAGTTATTAAACAATGTAATACTTAGTAAAAATTATACTGATATTGTCTGAACCCTCCTCATATATATATATATATATATATATATATATATAAATAAATAAATAGACAAATAGATAAATAAAAATAAAGATGTGAATATGTCAAATCTAAATAAGAGTTTATGACTTGACTGGTTAAAAGTCTTACTTATTTAACAAGTCTTACTTATTTAATTAGGTAAAAGCTTAATATTAGGCTTGTAAAAAAGTATGATAAGTTAGTCTATTTACTTATATAATATAATAAAAGATTAATATACATCTTAAATTATTAATAATATAATTAAATGAATAAATTTGTGAATTATGATAAAAAAAATTTATCAATATTTTTTACATTTCTAATATAGTCAAACATTTTACGTTTAATGTTTGTATGAAATCAAAAAATTGAAAATAGAAATATTAGAAATCACATCTCCACTTGCTCTTCTCCTTTCTCTTCATGGTCTACTAAGTGCCTCCATTTTTGTTATATAATTTTAGTTTTAACTTTTAATCCTTCATTCATTTTGTGACTTTGCAATTTAGCTTCAACTCTTCATGGTCTTTCATCACTCGACTCATACAAAAGTATGCATAAATATATGACCTATTTTTTTAACAAAAAAAAATTAATTCATTCTTCTTTTTTTTTTGTAACATTGTATATGTACTCCCTGATATTATTTCATATATAATGATTTTTTTTAATTTGTTACTCTAACTATCCCAAATTAAGAATATTTAGAATTCTTTTTATAAATAAAATTACCCTTTTTTATTTTTTTTTATCACAGATTGTACCTGAATGCACATAATTATACATAAGTGTGCATGGGTAAAAAAAAATAATTCCTTTCTTTATTTATTTATATGTATAATGATTTCACCTTATGTATAATGATATTTTTTCATGAATAACTTACAACTATAAAAACTTTTTAAATCACAAGCCACCTAATATTTTTTTTTGTTATAAATTAAAAATTATATTATATATAACAATTTTTTTTTGAAGGATTATATATAACAATATTATTTAAGTTAATTATTTTAAAAAATTAATCTTTATAATGCTGCGATCTTTCCAATTTAGGTATTGCACTTTTGCTAATGTTCAGAAAGCCCAAAATTTTGAGCAAACCTTGGAAGCAGTGAGACTAATAAATTGTCCACCAAACCACCACACAGACACTCTCTTCTTCAACTTTTCATTCTCTTGTTTTGTTCCAATCCTGAAGCAGATCTGGCAATGTCGCAAGGATTCGCAATCGAACTATACCTAGACCCAGCGCTTGAGAATCAGGTTCTGAAAGCGTGGAATGTTCTCGCGCGGAGACAAATCAGCACACACCTAATCGAAATGGAGTCACGGCCTCACATAACCCTATTCTCCACCCCCTTTCTAGAACCTTCCAAATTGGAACCTCTCCTCAGAGCCTTCGCCTCCAAGCACGACCCTCTCCCTCTCTCCTTCTCATCCCTCGCCACCTTCCCCAACGACGCCGACAACCTCTTCTTCCTCGCCCCCACTCCCACCCTCGCCCTCCTCCACCTTCAGTCACAGCTCTGTGACGCTATCAGAAAAGAAGGCGTCGAAATCGGTGATGACTATGCCTTGGATTCTTGGATTCCGAATTGCCCCGTGGCGCGCCACGTCCCCAAGCAGAGGTTGTCTGAGGCTTTCACTCTCTTGAGGGAACTCAAGTTGCCGGTTTCCGGTTACGCTGTGGATATTGCGCTCGTTCAATACTCTCCTGTTCGGGAAGTATTCTCATTTGTGCTTGGAGATAATGTACACTCCTGAGTCCTTTTTTTTTTTTTACCCTAAATTTTAGTTTCTTGTTTGTTTGATTTAATGAATCGATTTAATTGATTCCTAACTTGCAAGAAATAAAAAACTTATACTTTATTTATGAAGAAGTTAGATGAGAGAGTGAGAATTGTATAAATTTGTTTTTTTTTTTTTTTTGTTTTAATTTATGTGACAAACTTGATTGTTTTACCTTTTTAATTAATTTTTTTTTTTTTTTTTTAGGTTTTGTTGGACAAATTATATTTTTTTAAGTTCAATCTCTGTGGTCAGTATTGTAATCTTACTGATAAAAAGAAAAATGATTTGAGTTTAATACAAGCTAAAATTAATTTATGTATCTCAAAATTTTCAGTTTTACAAGTGCTTATTTATTTTATTATTGTTTATAGGTTATGTTCAGATAAATTTCTTTTTTAAGACTTGAAGAGAAAAACAAAAATGAATTGAGATTTTTTTTTTTTTTTTTTTTTATGTTAAAATTTTTCTAAACCTTACGTAAAAGTTAGTTTATGGGAATCTGACAGGGTGACCAATATAGGTTTAATTGCTCATTATCTATCTAATCAGTATTGAAATCCCATTCCTGGGAAATATTTTAATATTGTTTTGTTTCTTTAATGATTTTAGACATTATAACCTTCTACAAATTCAAAGTTTGCTGTTTGCGTCCATGGGCAATGTTTGTAAATGGTGCAGTTATTTGCATTCTTAACTCATGCATCATCAGTTGACAGTTCTGATTATCTTGTTGGCTAATTCTAATTTACAAAAATGTCCACTGTTGATCTGTTCTTTGATTTATGATAATGGTTTTCATTGGCATTTTTCTAAAATGGTAGGACTTCTTATCTTCCATTTATTGAGGTCATTGGATTCTTCTCTGTTTTAGCTGCATTCAGTTTTTCTGGTGACCTCTGTTATTCAGTTGCTCATATCTTCATTAACATTTAGCACAACTGTGAGTTTTCCGTTGTTTAATTTTATTTAACCTTTTGGGATTTTGGAATGCAAGCCACCTTTTAGAATATATAGCTTCAATTTGGTATAGATGATTGCTTCACTCTCATATCTAGTAATGTGTGAAAATAATTTTTCTTTTTTGGACAGAGTTAGATACCAGTCTGAGGAGTGCTTGCCGGTGTGTTGGACCTCTTCCAAGTTGATATGACCAGTCATATTCTCAGTTTTTCTGACTGAAGTAGTTCAGCATCCAATACCCGATGATGAATGGTTCTATTTTGTTGTTATAGAGTAAGATGTTTGATTGTTGTGTCTATAACTCCTTTTTTGCTGTCAGATTTTCTTCTGGCAGTTGTCTCTGGTTCTATATGACATCCTGTGATGATACTTACACTATTGCATAACTGTTAATATGACTGCATATGAGTAATGATTTCTACCATAGGCTCTTACATTTTTTTTTCCTTCTTGCTTTCCTAAAACTCTGACGCACACACATTAACAGTTGTGCAGGGACTGATTGTGTAAATAGCTTTTCTCATAAGTACCCATCATTTATGGGAAAAGTAAAGAAATGCTGATTGTTGTAGCATTTCACATTTAATCAATTTTAAGTCCATGCTTTGTATTCATAGGTTTATAAGAACAGTTAAATACCTTAAAGGCAGTTTGGTTGAGTTCTTATCCGTATAGTCTGGAAAGCCTCTTGTTATTTGCTGTGGTTCATAAGTAACTTCACTGTGTGTCTTGCCACCGATATCATGTTAGGTTGTGTTGTATTCTGATATGATTTTATAATAATAATATTCAGGCTCAAACTTCTTTGGATTTATAGATTATTGAGGTTCATTGTAGAATTTCATATTTCTTTTCGTAATTAAACTTGCATATTTGTAAAGACCTGTGAAGTAATGATACATAAATTATAAGTGCATCAACATTGTATCCATTCATGAAAGTGATTCTAATACTTTACACCAGAATGAACTGATAACACATTCCATATGTTTTATCATCAAACTTCCAAATATTTTCATAAATTACGCACAAAATAAACACTTTTCACATTAAAAAACTTTACATACACGAATAACAATACCATTTTAGAGGTTAGGGAGAATGTAGGATATCAAAAAACAACAAAAGATATATTTGTCACGCTAATAGATTCTGGTTTCATAATAACCATTTTATTCTTTATGTAATACGCCACATGCAAATCAAAGACCATTACCATGTTTTCTAACATCTTACAAGCACAAAAAAAAATAAACAAGGACAGACACTAAACACAATTACTTTGCATGATTAAAGTGTTAAGTGCCTACAAATAACTCACATTATTAATATCTAAACTAAGAAAAGGACATAATATTAATGACATGAACTATTTAAAATGCTATGTGCTACCATACCTCAAACAATAGTATTAGGAGATACTAGATGCTGCAGGATCGACTAAGACATCTTCAATACCAAGAAAAGAATAAAAGTGAAAATAACCCACATCTCAAGAAAGAGGGACATTTTATAGGAAATTTAGTTATTGCTACAAGAAGTATAAAAGGCAAATAAATCTCCACATAACATAACCTTTATACTCCTCTCAAGCTTTAGAAAGCTAACCATAAGGTATAAATATTAAGAACAAGGTTTTATAAAATGATCCCATACCACAATTGAAACCTCCAACAATGGGATTCTTGTGGTCTCAATTACTAAATCACAACTACAATAGTGATTGCATAATGACATTTGTGCACAATTTTCCAAAATACCAAAATTCGGAGCAAAAATACAATTTAAAATCATGATTGAGAACATATTCAAAATTTTTCACAATTTCTTACTTGAGTGTCGAAGTGCCTCCTACATGTTCTCTACCTATTTTTTCCTAGTAACTCAACTACACTAGAACCGTGATCAAGTTTAGGAAAGTTCAAGCCTCACTCTTCAAGCACATTCAAACAAGTCTACAATGCACCTTGGATACATTTTCAACTCATTTCAGATTTGTCATCCTCGTTCACTTCAGACAGATTCTAAAGATGTATCATTAGCGGATGTGAAATTTCTAACATATTCTCTCATGTTGGGAATTAAACATCTCAAGCATAAAGTTTCCAAGACTAAATATATGTAGATGGCTTGATAATAGAATTACTATGATAGGCTTTGATATCATTTAAGGTATGTATTTAAGCCTAATTCAATTCTATAAAATCAACTTATAAGATGAGAATTACTCTCACTTATATACTTCATTTTGACTATATTTTTGATCAATGTGAAATCTCCAACACAGATCAGTCACATGATACAAACAAAGAAGAACAAAAATCTTATGAAACAAAACCAACCAACCTTCTTTCTTGGTACACAAATACAAGGGGTGAAAGTGAGCAAATAATACCAAGACAAATAAACAAAGTTCCATCTATAAAATTTGGTGTAATGCAACAACAATACTAATAATCATTACAACAAGAGAATTCCAAGAGGAACCAAAAGCCTCCCCCTCAAACCATTCTCGAACAAAAAACAATCAATTGCAATTATCTCTAACATCATACTAACAACATAACATAAAAAATTAGAAGTAGTAACGTAAAATTCATAAGTTAGTTCAAGAGTCTACATTACCTCTGAGCACAAATGAGAAGAGTTTGCAAACTGGAAGGAATTGAGCAAGCGTGTTAAGTCAAAAGATGATCTCTTGAATTCAAAGTTTTCATGCTAACAAAAGAAGTGTAAGACGCTGATCATCTATAAAACGATTGTTGAAAATGTCTTTGAAAAGTATCTTTTAAAGGCTTGTCAAAAGAAGTGTAAGATGCAGATCATCTATAAGATGATTGTTGATTAGACAAAACATGCGATTTGTCTCATATACATTAAATATTTATCATTTATTAAGACTAATAACAAAGTTCACTTTGAATGTTTTATTACTTAAAATATCAAATAAAAAAACCATCTCAAAACTCACAAATTTGTTAAAGAGAAAAATCATGTTTTGTACTAGAAAAAAATGGCAAAAATCATAGAGAAAAATAGAGAAAGTTACTACAATAGTTGTTCTGTAATAACATTGCTTCTACAAACTCTATTTAGTATGAAAAGTTGATAAGTAGTTTCATTGATCAAATTAGAGATACTATTTGATAAAATAGATTTAATGCTCACATTAATTGTGCCAAATGGTTACTTGCTACCACAAGGAAGACAATGAAGACAGATGAAACAAATTTGTGAGTTGGATTTAAAGTGTTGTAACAATCATCTTTTCTAGACTACTATATAAGTAGATTTAAAGCTTAAGAAAGACATACAATTTTTACACAAGAGACATTATTTTGTAATTGATATATTTACATCTATATAGAAACACTCTTTGAAAAATCTATTCTTTCTTGTATTAATTCATTGTTTTGTAATTAATTGTATAACAACTAAGTGAGACGAACACAACATTTGAGTAACCTTTATAACCATTGTTATAAAGTTGAGGTTGGAAAAACTTATCTATAAAAGAATACTTGATTATTGAACTTGGAGAGATTTATCTTTAAAAGAATACTTAGGTGTTAAACCTAGAAAGACTTATTGCTAAAAGAATACCTAGATAGTGACTTGAAGAAGCCAATCAAAGAACATTTGTTATTGATCGAGAAGTGGCTTGAAAAAAATAAAACTAGTATAAAATACTTGGTGTTCCATCTATTATTTAATTACTCTTCCAACATTTCATCAATTACAAATATTACTTAACTCTCTTATAAAAAGTGTTAATTTTGATTTTGACTATTAAACTTTATTCTAGTGATTATTTTTTTCCACAAAGCTTAATATCCATATTGTAACTAGATATCAGCAAATTGAGTTTCCCAAGAGAGAGAATGCCTTAAGCATCCTTTAATCGGGGATGTGGTGTGCGACGGGGGAAATGAGGGACCCACAAATTGAAAGCATATTCATTGTCGATTTCGAAGCCTTCTTTTCTGATAGCATCATAGAGTTGTGATTAAAGGTGGAAGAGTGCAAGGGACGGGGTGGGGGCGAGAAAGAGGAGGTTGTTTGTGCCATTGGGGGAAAAGTGGTGACCAAGGAGAGAGAGGGAAAGGCTCATGCTCTGAGGATAGGTTCCAATTTGAAAACTTATAGAAAGGTGGAAGACAATAAGGTTATGTGAGGTTGTGACTCCATTTCAATGAGGTGTGTGCTGATTTGTCTGCGTGCGAGAACGTTCCATGCTTTCAGGACCTGGTTCTCAAGCGTTGGATCTAGGTATAGTTCCACTATGAACCCTTGTGACATTGCTAGAGATGAGATTGAAATTGACCTAAATCGAGATCAGTGAGTGACGAAGGGAAATTGAGAAGAAGCAAATGGGAAGGAAAGGATTGTAATGATGGATTGAAAATGGGAGGAATTGGATTATGGAATGACAATGTACTAACAGTGGACGTGATGACGCAAAATATAAAATAGTGGATGGGGGACACAAAATTGTAGAAAGTAGAATTATTTTTTACTTTCTACAAAATGTAAAGATAGCATGCCATTATTTTTTGCAACACCTATAAAGTAGAATGTTGTGCACTAGCTTGCACCACATGTGAGTTGAATAGTTGACATATTTGCTTGTTGATTTTTATGTTAATTTCATTTGTGGAGCTCTATTGTATTGAGATGACCAATCAATTATAAGAGTCAATCCTTATATTTTGTGATTAAATTGATGGTTGTTCGTGAAAAAATACACATTGGTCCCTTGAAACTTTTTTTAATCTTTTCTTGTTTGTTATTTAATATTATGATTTTTTCCCCTCTTTTATTTTATCCACGTCATTATTTGTCTGTCTAATCTCTATTTTCTTCCATCTCATTTTAGTTCGTTCTCTCAATAATTAACTTTGATAAGATTTGCAAGCAAAATTCAATAAGATTCAAATAAGATAAAATTTAATGTTTGAGCAACATAACCCTACTTAAAAAACAACAAAATACAATTCTTTTTTGTTGAATATATTATGACACAGATAGACTAGTATGCATCGATCCACCAACTCAAATGCATCAAATTATTGTTCAAGAGGACTAAGGCATTTCCTTTGGTACAAGTTTTGTTTGGTGGGTATTAAAACCCTCTGTGACTAGGACCACGTAAACGATGACATGTGTTAATTTTGTCAGAACTTATATTTTTTAAGCATGTTTTAATATTTGCTATTTAACCTTCATTAATTTATAACCTTTTAAATAATAGTCCTCAGCCTATTTAAATATGCTTTATCTTCTTCATTTTCCTACCCGTTTCATTTTCATTTTTCCTCTTCTTTCTGGCGCGTCTCTAGCTCTAGTGCTCTAAAACCTACTCTCCCTACCAAAAGTTCCATCAAAGACCATAACTTTCCCGTGTACCCTCCATTCCTACCCGTTTCATTTTCATTTTTCCTCTTCTTTCTAGCGCATCTCTGGCAAGCACCTCCCATTCTCTCCTCCGCTGCTGGACAATCTATTCTCCCTAAGAAAAGCACCATTCCATGTGAGAGATTCACCGAAATGCCACCACCCTCTGCGATCGCTGCACAAAGTTCCGTACATCATAAACCTCAACCTCTCTCACTCTCTCTTCACTTTCTCTCTCTGCAAACCAAAACCCACTTCTTATATTCCCACTTAAAATGCCAAGCACCATTTCATGTGAGAGATTCACCAAAACGTCACCACCCTTTGCAATCGCTGCACAAAGTTCCATACATCATAAACCTCAACCTCTCTCACTCTCTCTTCACTTTCTCTCTCTGCAAACCAAAACCCACTCCTTATTCCCACTTAAAATGCCAAAAGAAAAAACGTTGCGGATCTGTTCCTCTTCACATAACCCGAAACCCCATTCACAATTCCAAGTCAAAGACGCAGCCTTTTTAACTCATGCAGTGACTTGGAAACAAACAGAAGAAGCAAATGGTCCTTTTCGTAGGGAGAATAGATTGTCCAGTAGCGGAGGAGAGAATGAGAGATGCTTGGCAGAGATGCGCCAGAGAGAAGAGGAAAAATGAAAATAAAACGGGTAGGGAGATGAAGAAGATAAAACATATTTAAATAGGCTGGGGGGCTATTATTTAAAAGGTTATAAATTAATAAGAGTTAAATAACAAATATTAAAACATTCTTAAAAAATATAAGTTCTAACAAAATTAACACATGTCATCGTTTATGTGGTCCTAGTCACAGAGGGTTTTGGTACCCTCTAAACAAAACTTGCACCAAAGAAAATGCCGAGGACTAAATGCAAGTCCATAAATAGGTGGAATTTCAAAGTACAAATAGGATATGGTATTCATCAAATACAACAAAGGGTTGAACACTCAAATACAAAACACACAAATATATGTCCACTATAAACAACATAGTGATATTCTAAAGACAAGTAGATTAATGAGGAACACGAAGGTAGAGAGGAACGGGATTGTGGGTGTTTGGAGGTGAGTCCCAAACAGAGAAAGCACTGGTAGAGTTTAACCATTTATGTGTCATTTCAGGGTAGTGACGATCAATTACATCCTTCAAGCTCTCAGTTGTGTTCACCCATTCCAATCCCTTCTTGGTGTATGTTTCCTCATTAAAGTTGCTTGTGAAAAACCTATCAGCTTCTAGCCTCCTGCAAATTGGCAAAAGTTTATATTTGTTATAATAAATTGCTTTTAAAAAAGCACTTCACAAAAAGGGTAACAACCTATTAGTATTTTGTCTAGTACCATGAAATACTATAAATGAGATTTCTCTTTATATACATTATTCAATTTCAAAACCACTCTAACATCTTCAAGTTTTCTGTTCCTAACCAAAGCTTATAAATTTATATTTGATATGATTGTTGGGTACATATGGACATAAAATGAAAATCAATGGGTGTTTTAATTTTAATTAGTGTTACCTGCTTGCCATGAGTAGGAATATTATAAAAGCTGTCTCGCTGATTGCAAATCCTTTTATTTTCTTCTCTGCCATGAGGCCTACCAATGTATCAAGCTCTTCAACATCATCACCGTATACTTCTTCCAATACTTGAATTGCTTCTTTGTCATCCGTTAGATCCTCCCACTTGGTGATTGGTATCAACAATAGTGCCCTCCTAAACTGGTTGTATCTAGCCACACTCCTTTCTCTATCTCTGTAAACTGCATCATATTTTTGGGTTAGTTCCTAGTCTTTCATAATTATGGGCATGTTTGGATAAAGTTTTTTAGAAGCACTTATGAACTAAATAAAATAAAATAAGGTTGATTATAAGTTAAAATTAACTTATATGTAACTTAAAATTAAATTTTTGAAAAAGTTATATAATTTTTTTTATAAATTAATTTATGCATATAAGTTAATTTAGTCTATCTACACAAACAAATATAGGTTGAGATTATAATTAACTATATTGACTAATCCTACTTTCAAGAGCAGCAAGATCCACATGATCAGGCCTTTCTGTGCCATCCACGTTTTGTGATACCAGATCTCTCAGCCATAGTGGATAGTTCCAAAGCTCTAATGCCCCACAAGCCTGGTGACCCATTGACACAAGTTGTCTTGCAACTCCTATTTCTGTTAATGTTTGTTCACCTTGAAGTCCAATCAAATTTTTCATTGGAATCCTATAATAATAAAAGAGTTTTTTCTTGTTAGAGTTCAGTGGAAAAATGACTTTTTTCTTTTTTTGAATATTGTAATAGGAAAAGAAAAGTTGTGGTAGTCTGATATTTTATCATACTCTTTGATCAACGGTGGAGATTTGTTAGGCCCTGGGGTAGCAGATATGTCTCTCAATTGCAGGTTATCAGGCAAGAGTGAGTGCATTCTATAAACACTCACAAATTCCTCAGTTAGAGAGTACGTGACACCATGATTTTCTGGTCTCTTAAGACCCACTAATCCTCCTAAGATGGCTCCACCAACATGCCCAAATGTATCCTTGAATTTCTTCCCCAATATTCCATACCTGAAAAGAAAAAAAGAAAAAAAATCCAAATCGTATATTAGACTTGAGTTTTTCTTAGAAATTACACTTCATTTTCATTATCTTAAAGTTTGTCAAAAAAATAATAACTTTTTATTTCGACTAACTATTGATTAACATCATCAAATATTTTCGAAACAAAAGCAATCATTGTTAAAATAAAAAAGGATGGTTAAAATAATATCTGTATAATGATGGTTAAAATAATATCTGTGTGAGAGTTTGTGGTGTTTGAAATCTTACCAATTTCCACGCATGCCTGCAAGTAAAGTGTCGGTCTTAAGGAGCTCCACAGTCCAATCTATGGTGTGAACCTTTGCAATCACAGCTGAGGTCACCAATCTAGCATGACGATAAAGTTCTTCATCTTCCAACTCAGGGTAATTTTTCTGAAGGAAGAAGTGCATTTAAATGCATATAGTTAGTATTTCCCTATGAGGAATAAGACATGTATTTAGAGTCATTAAAATTAATCAAGTTCAAGTCAAGTAAGATTCTAAAAAGAAAACATAATTTATGGAAAAGTCACACCAGGTGAAGCTAAACTAAATTAGCTAATTTGACAACTTTTTTTTTTCTACTATTACAAATATTCATTACATATTGTGAGATTATACAATAACTACTTTACAATTCAACACAAGATTACAAAAATGTTTGAATTTCTTAGTTCCTCTTAGATTTAAATGCATGACACATACCTTGAGAGCATCACAGACTGCATTATGCTCTTGAACGAATAGGGCCTGCAAAGTCGAAACACCGGCCCAACTGTTGCGGATGTCACCGGCGATGGCTGTTCCATTTTGGTTGTGGAGAAGATGACCATCCTTTGATATCTTTATCTTTCCGTCTTTGAATGTCCTCAATTTTGCTAAAACTTCTCCATTGCTTCCATATATGGCACTTCCATCCCTTTTATCATAAACAAATCCATTGAACAAGTTAAAAGTCTTACTACTTTTTTTTGTTTTCTTGATTCAATTCATACGTTAAGAATTATGGGATAATTTGATTCCTATCATTCTTCTCATCCCTTTTCCTTTTTTCATCATCATCATCGACCATCCTTCTTTTACTTTTTAATGAAAACCCTTGTGAGAATCCTTAGGTTACGTGTTTGTTCTTTTCTTTTAAAATTCTTTCAGCCGTCAATATTAATACTTCCCAAAGCACAAATTAAATGCTTATAGTCTAAAAGTAAAAAAGATATTACTTTCTTTTTTATATATATAAAACTTAATTACTTAATTTATCAAGATTAAAAAAATAATTAATTTAATTGATGATAATAAATTTATTATATATATATATATAAATAAAAGGAGACATTCATTTACTTTGTTCAATAATTCATATTTTATATTAAATTTTAATAATTCAACCATTGAAAATTTTTAAAAAAATTAAAAATTATTTAATATTTCATTTCATTAATTTAAATTGATGAATAATCATAAAAATATTTTATACACTGAATTGAATTAATGAAATAAAGTATCAAATGATTTTCGAATTTTTTAATTTGTAAACTTGATTCATGCATTAAAAACTTTAAATTCATCAATTAGATTGTTAAAATTTGATATAAAACATAAATTATTAAATGTAGTAGGTTTATATAAGCTTATTTCTAAAGCAGACGGATCCCTCATATATATATATATATATATATATTGATTTACAGATAATTAATATATAAAAAATATGAATTAAATTTTATATAAAATACCAAGTAATTGTGATAGAGGTAGTATATTTTTTCATCGCAGCTCAAGGACCGCAGCCTTAAAAATCTTCAGCATTCCTGTACCGAAGTATATATATTTGAGGACGATATTTCCTGGAAATGTACTTTCAATATTTTTCGTTACAACCCATAATTAATGGGCTCCACATCTCGTATCATATGAGCACATTAAACATGTACGCACCAAAGTAAATAAATAAAAAACAATAAACATGGGACATTATCTTAGGTATTAATTACGTAGAATTATTTTTCATATATACTTATAATAGGAAGGACAGGAGCTAATATTATTTTTTTATATACATATATCATAAATTTATTTATATTCATTAATTTAATCATTATATTGTACACGTGTCACAATCTGATTTATTTTTATAAATTTAATGATTTAAATGCATCAAGTTACCACAACTTTCATATCTCAAAAGGTAGAGAATCCGAATCCAAAATCTTACCACCAAGGTGTACGAATGTTTAATGCTCCGGTCTTGATCTCGTAGAAGCCGGTGGGAAATTCCTTTGTCTTGTAGAACTTGAAAGATTTTAGTGGGCATTGGCTTGCAACTTCTCTTGGTGCAATGAGTTCAATCTATGTATGTATCACAATTCCACCAAATTAATTAAGATTATCCCAACATGAAGTAAATAAAAAGAGAATAATTTTTTAAGACACCGAAAACGGCAGATGATTGCAAAGTTGACAGATAAATATATATAAAGTTCTTTAAATATAATACATTATACTTGTGTATAATATATGTATCAATATATATAATATGTGAATTATTGTGTTTGAGTGGGTAATGTTTTTAAAAAATGAATTATTGTGATCTGTAGTATGGTAGGTTTATAATTAAAGACCTGGTTGGTATCCTCTAGATGATCGATCCAATCATGAATCATAAATTGAATCCAAGAAGCTGCTATCACATTGAATTGCTTCCCGGTGTCTTTGTATGTCTTCCTCGCTAGAAGTTTTGTGGCTACCACCATAGGATCAGGCTTCAATAGCTGCACACCATGACAGATTGAGAGATTATGCTTTCAAATTACTCACCCTCAAAGGGATAAAATTAAATAAACATTATCAATATTTAAGTTAAATTCTAATTAACTGAAAAACTGAAAAGTCACTATTGTAAACAGATACATTATTTTTTGTGTCATTTTATAATTTTTTAATAAAAAAAGTCACTTTTAATTAGTTTAATCAACTAGTTTATATGATTGATATATATATAATATATCCGTGTACTAATAAGATCATCATTCAATCACAAGCAACTATGTATATTAAAATAGTGAGTTTAAACTTAATTTAATCTTATAAAATCAATATGTAAAAATAAAAATTATCACCTCACTTATATACTTCTTGATTATCTTATATTTTTAATTAATATAAAATTTGAGTTTTTTTAATACTGTAAATAATAATCAATATTTTGGCTGAATTTTACAATAATTATTTAAAAGTTAATGTAAGGGTAAAATCTATCAACAAATTATTAATTTGAGTGTTATTGAATTTAATTTTCTAAAGTAAAGTCTGTGATTTGAGTATTGTGAAGAAAAAAAAGTAATTAAAAATTTCACTAAAGTAATCTACAATATTTCTTAATTCAATAGCTTTGTAATCATATGCAGAGGCTTAGATACTGACCTTTTTTTTCTGGTCCACAGGGAGGATATTTCTGCCAAAGAAGGTCCCTTGGCTGCCTGCAGCTTCGTTGAAAGGATCATTATATTTCCCATCGGCTGTTCTGTATGGAAAATCAGAATGGTTGAACCTAACACCCACTGGTGTTGTCCCAACGTTGAAGAGGTTGTACTCTTGATGAAGGTGTCGTCGAATGGCCAAGTACACAAGCCCTAAGAAAACAGGAAGACGTGGCCATATTCCCAACTTATCAATGGAGTGTACAATCTGCATATAACCCATATAAGGAAATAGAATCATTTAGTCATGATCGTACATATAAATGTCAACTTTTTAGAAAATATGACCTATTGCTGCAATTTATGCAACATCAAGATTTTTTGTAGGCTCTAAGCTTACATATAATTTCTTACCATAAATAGTATAACAACAAACTTAAAACCTTGATAAATCTATTGGAAATCAACTATAAGTATATATATATGTATTAAATACTATTGAAAAATGTTGAGGAGACATTTTCTAACACTTTCTTTTTAACATTTTCTTTATTATTGGTTGAAAATCACAAATTTTGATGGATCTTACCACATTTGATAAGATGTGAAATTTACAAAATTTGTGATTTATAATAAATTTCAGCCAATAATAAATACAATATTAGAGTATGGATCGATAATAGCAGCTATTAAAGTGACAAGTGATTTAATGGAGAGAGGATTATACAAGGAAGAGAAAAGCATCTATTATGGTCATCTTGGCCACTGCTTCATGGAAGTCTTTGTGGATGATATGGTGGAGAACTCTTGTAACAAGAGCTCTAATGGGATCCGTTACCACAGACCACATGGTTGTTTCTCTTTAGATCTGACACAAATTTAAAAGGCTAAATTTGATGAAACTAATGCAAATATGTTTGTATTTATAGGCGCTTGGGTAAGAAGTTCTTGTTTGAATTTGCTTCTTGGCTACGAGGCTGACCATATCTTCAAATATCATGTTCAAATAAGTACATCTTCGAAAGCCCACTCTAATCCTATTTGATTTTTCTTTTTGGTGGAAAATATGTTAAACATTTATAAATATCACTGTATATTAAAAAATTAATTTAGTCCATATACTTGATATACCATTTTTAATTTGTTTTAATCCTTGTACCGATAAAACTACATTTTATTAGTACATACATGAAAAAATTCTCATTATTCTATCAATTGATTTTTATTGATCAACAAAAGTATAACGATATTAAATTTGTAATTCAGCCTTAAGAAACCATGAGGATCAGGACTATACTCGTCAATTATTTAATTATTCGTTGATTTCGACCACGAAGATTAGTTGGCCGGCCAATTTAAAAAGGCAATGAATAATACTATATTTATGAGTTAACCTTAAAAAAAAAAAAAGATTAGTGGGCAATTATTTACTCGTTAATTAAAACCACAAGGATGAGAACTAGTTTACCTGTTTTCAATTGGCAATGTTCATTGACTAACTGTTGTTTTCTATCACTAGCATATATATACATACACACAAAGCTTAATTAAAAGGGATGACTTGAAAAAAAAATAGAAAAAACAAAACAAAACAGAAGACTTTTGATGGCAGCAATATGCTAGAGAAACTAAATTAAGAAGATAACGTATCCTAATTGATTTATATATTTTAAAGAAATAGTTTTTTTATTATTAAATTTACCATTTAAATATTTTTTTCAAAAAATAATTTTAAGCAATCATAATGTAGTGTATAATATAAGACTTATTGACGGTTATTATTTCAAAGTTTATTATATAATATATAATTGTTTTATAAAAAAAACTTTATTAATTATACGCACTCATGTTTAAGTATTTTTTGTATTTTTTATTAAAAATACAATAACTTGCATGTGCACACAACAAAGAGAAAATGTATTGAATCCTATCTTAAAGGATATTTTAGTAATGAAAAATTCTTAATTTCAAGTTTTAATCATAAAGAGTTCTCATGTGAACTACTAACAAGATTTGTTTAATCTTGTTCAGTACTTAGAAACACTACATGTGTTTAACCAAGAAGCATCCTCAAAAAGTAGCACTATAGTCAGTTACTATATATGCACAAGACTATTGAATCAAGGGAGTCCAAGAATGAACATCTCTCAAGGAAGATGCCTTGAAGACGTCATATAGCAGTCCTTTTCTTTGAACGTTGCATCAGGAAGCTTCAATTCAAGCTCAACTTCTAAGAAGATTGGTACTGAAGATCTTGATCAGAAGGAAGCTTAGAAGGTTGCTTAGAAGGAAGCTTCAAAAGCAAATTGCTTTTGAAGGATCTATTGACAACACTAAAGTGAAGTACAAGATGATGTATACACGACTTAAAAACCAAGCTAGCTCCAATAGACATATTTTGAAATCTATAAAAGGAGGATTAAGACTATTGTTCCAGAGCAAACAAGATTAAATAGAGTAATCAAAATACAAGCTTCCATAGTTGTAAACTTTGTTTCATACTTTATTTTCATAGATTTCCATTTTTGCATATATTGTAAACACTCAATCTTGTAATAGTAAAATGAAGTGTTAAACTTCCTTAGTGAAAGCTTCTAGTTAAGAGAATCTATTGTAACCATAGTTGTGCGTCAGGATACACAAATCCTCTTTATATATATATATATATATATATATATATATATATAAACACTCCTACTTAGATCTGGTGTTTAGAGGTGTAAGAAGAAATAAAAAAAACTTCAACTAGTTGGTTGTGTAAACTCATAGTAGGTGGATTTGAGTGTTGGAATCTCATCAGGTAGTTAAGGAAGAAATCTTAACAAGTAGCTAAGTATGGAACACTATCAATAAGTAGAACATTACGTAATGTGGAACTTGTCCAAGCAGGTGGTTGGTGGTGTAAACTGAAAAATAGATGATGAAATAGTGGAAAGCACAAAAAGTGTGTGAGGACTGGATGTTGCCTAACATTATGGTAGTATAAATTATAGTTTGCAATCTCGCTTACTCTATCTCTTTTTCTTGTTGTAGTTTTTTTTCATTATATATCTGAATTGCATAATCTGTAAGTGTTTTCTTTAAAACTATATACTAAAGAAATTTTTACGAGAGATTGTGTTTTAAATACTAAGAAGACTCATTTTTTGAAGAATAGATTTACTTTAAAATTGCTTAGAAAGAGGTTTTGAAATAAGCCAAGTTTTTAAAACAATCAAAAGAATCATCTTTTGAGGAACAATTTTCTTAAAGAACAAATTTTTAAGAAATGCAATAATTCACCCCCCCAACTCTTCTTGTTACCTAACATACACTTCAATTGGCATCAAAGTTTGACTCCTAGAGTTAAGCACACTTAACACTGTAGGAGCCAAGATCCTAAGGAAGTGATGACAGTTCAACATTTAGCAAAGTTCATTCAAGAAGGTGCTTCAACAAACAAACCTCCAAGTTTTGATGGAAAAGAATACTACTATTGGAGAGAAAGAATGAAGTTGTTATGGATTCACAAGATTTAGATATACTAGAAATAGTAGAAGAAGAGCTATATAAACCAAAGAAAACCTTGGATACATGGGTTATTATAGCAAAGCCAAAACATGAATGAAATGTTGATGAGACGTTCATATGTTTACTTAATGCAAAAGCAAAGTTTTATTTCACTTGTGTACTCAATAGATATGAGTATGACAAAGTGAAAAAATGCACCACAACAAAAGAAATACAGGAGAAATTTTAAAGTTGTACATGAAGGAACAGATCAGAAAAAGGATTCTAAAGTAAATATTTTGACTCAATAGTTTGAAATGTATAAAATGTAGGAATGAGAATCCATAAATAACATGTATAACAAATTCATTGTTATAAGAAACTAGGTAAATAATCGGGGCGAAAAATTAATTTAGTCCATATACTTGTTATAGATATTCTAATTAGTTTTAGTCCTTGTACCAAAAAAACTACATTTTCTTAGTCCATACATGAAAAAATTCTCATGATTCTATCAATTGATTTTTATTGATCGTCAAAAGTATAACGGTAGTAAATTTGATTCCTATATTTAATACCGTTTCTCATTTTGATCACTACATAAAATGTAGATTCAATATATATATATATATAATTTTTCATGTAAAATAATAAAAGGTAGATTTTTTTTATATGGGAACGAAAAAAAAAAGAATAGAAATATAATTTATAATTCAGCCTTAAGAAACCACGAGGATCACACGTCAATTATTTAATTATTCGTTGATTTCGACCACGAAGATTAGAATGAATAAAGCTGGTGGTAATTATTTATTCAGAATAAGAAAATTAGAATGAATAAATAAATAAATGGGACATATATAATTGTTGTTTAGTGAGCGATAGGAAACAAGTAAAAAGAGTGAATTAACAGCGTAAAATTATTACTACTAACTAAAATGAGCTGGAGGATAAACTCTTGCTTCCTACATAAATATTTAAGATACATAATTACTTACCTAGTACAATCATAAACTATATCCTGATTTGAAAAATCATACTGAATTAGTAAATTATTAATTATCACATTTGCTTTTCAACTTTGATTATGTCTGTGAAAGCGAAATTAATATATATATATATATATATATA